CCACGAGAAAGTACGGACCTCACCACCTTGTACTACTATTATATGATTGACAAAAAATTACTGTAACATAGAAGTTCAGGTCGATCCATGCGAGGATTTTTTCGAGTTCACTTGTGGCAAATGGATCGCCGCTCATCCGATTCCTGATGATAGGAATGGTATACACGATTGGATGTAGTCCGAGAAAAAGTTCTGGAGCAGATGAAAGGTGGTGCCAACATACTGGATCCTCTGATATTATGACTATAGCGCTTGAGGTTTCAAAAATAGCAGCTGTACGGTAGAGGATTCTAAATTTAATCTAAAGCCAGTAATGTAAGCTTTATCACTCAAAGGGTTTGTAGCACTCAGCTATCCGCAGCCACATTCAGATGCACTCGAGTCGCCAGAAACGTTCGCTTCTAAATCCATGAACGCCCTTAAGTCTATGTACCACAAATGTATGGACGAAAAGGATCTAGACGAAAAGGAACTAAACAGGACAGGGTCCAAGAGACTGCTGCAGACCATTAGTGTGTGTTTTCTAATACTTTCACAAACGGGTTCTTGGGCTCAGAGATTTTTTGCAGAGTTACGGTGTGTGGCCCATGGTGGATGGGGACGACAAATGGCGAGTAGAAAACTTTGATTTGACTTCGTTGATGATTCATGTTAGTGAAGTGAGAGGACTCGACGTCTTCATTGCCACTGATGTCTCGCTCGACGATAAAAACGTCTCCAGAAGGCTTATCGAGGTGAGAATGGGTTGCAACTGACGGATTACATTATTAACTACATGACTGATGCCACTGGCCTTGTGTATTTCGATATCGTGTCTTCTACAACAATGAAAAATCAAACAAAGGTATCATTCTTAAAAGTATAAAATTAAAAATGAAATGATAACAGTATACAAAACAAAAAAAGCAGAATAAAAGCCTCAGAAGCATAGACCAAGAAGAAGCCATATTGAATCCCGACGCGCTCAATTTCCCCATTAGGAGGGGCACCTTTGTGAATTCCCGTTGAAATTTTAGAAAAAGAGGTTCGAAGGTATGGGTACGCGACGAACCTTAATTATCATGAAACACGAAGCACTGAGCGGTCGAACACTGCTATAAATAGTGTAGGTTTGGAACTGACCACTGCCTGTGAAGTGTCATATCTAGGAGTCATAGTGTATGTCGCAGAAGTGTCTGGCCATGACCATGATGCGACCTCGAGCGACGAAAGCTTTTTGTGCTGCGTAATGCTTCTATCACCTGAGCTATTCAGATGAGGTGTGAGCTCCCAGTCGCGCACTTGTCATGAGGATGCTCTGTCGTCTTGTTGATTACACTCCGTCAGTGACTGTGCATTACTTACATTAGATCTTGGAGTATTCCAACATGTAAACGTTCCCAGATTGGTTATATTTTGAAAGAACTTTGCAAGCAACAAGTCAGCTGCAAGCCTGGAATATGAGCCCATGCCTTTCTAAGCTTTCCTACGTGATCAGCGACTATCATCTTTTGGCAATACTGCACCAATCGGTGCTGCATGAACACAAAAGGTGAAAGGGGTTACATTTCACATTGTCGTGCCCAGGTGCCGACAGGATATGTTGGCATCGGTGGGGGTGCACCCGGAGGCGTCACCGCCACGACGCGCGGGCGTTATAAGGCGCCCACCCTCTCACAAGGGACTTCGTCGGGCGCCGTTGTGTGCCCCAAGGGTTCTGCCACGGGCTGAATGAGGCCTGCCCTTTGCTAAGTGGATGACAGTCATGGATCTACCCACTATAGTTACTCTGACAAGACATGATTACTTTCCGAACTTCATGTAGAGAAACATTACACGTTAACATAGACAAAATCATCGTAATCTAATAACACACATGGCCAATGGGTAGCCGATATTGATATGTACAAAGAAAGTGATTAAGAGGAAATCGTATCTGTGGATGAAGATGAGGATGGGAGTAATAGGTGGAAGCAATTGATCAGTAGTGACAGGAGAAGACCATGGAATGAGTTAGACGGAGACAGGGAATGGCGGCGCTGGTCCACCAGTTGCGCAACCGCTCATGATAAGCGAACGACGACGACTGATTTGAAAAATGATGACAATAATACTGTCTGCACGGTTCACGCGGATCATGCTGCTCATAGCTAGGACGCACCCCACGTGTTAGGCGCCAACCACCGGATGTGTTCGTCTGGCTGTGATTCCTCCCGGGCGCGTCCGCATTTAGGGCCCCCAGAGAGCGGTTCGTACGTCTGAGTCACGGACAGCTGGCCGGACCGTCATGGGAAAGAATTGTGCGCCTGGTGGTGGACCACCGGGACGAGAGTAATTGGGGGACGTGGACGAAAAAGGGGGTAGCCTGTCACGTACTGATCAGGGATATGAGATACAGTAGGCAAAAATAATATGGAACAACAACAAATATGTACATATTCCTTCAGAGCGCATCGAGTAAATATGTGAGGCCTTAAGGGTCCTCAAAAACAAATAAAAATCAGTTATCAAGAAAACTTCATAAATGAGTAGAGTAAGTGAGGCAATGAAGATAAGAGATAATAAAGCAAAACACAGATAAGCAAAAATGTAATCTGACTGCATCTGCAACTGACTGCCTTCGTGATCGCGTACCAATCGTAATCCAACTGACCATCGAAGCATTCCAACTGGCCATCGAATAAAGCAGGTGGAGCCAATAGACCGTAATCGACGAAGTTGATACGGCGGTTGTTGTTGACTTTGAAAAGGGACCTACGGGTTTGCAAAAGTGCGAGAGGGAGATTTTTTGTCTCGCATTAGCCAATTTGGCAGGGGGGTGAAAACTCCCGAGGGGGGATTAGACAAAAGCAGCGATCTCCCAGCGCTGTGGGGTGGATGAGGGTATACCCAACCAAACCGAAGGGGCCTTCCCGGAGAGTGGCGGTCGTCGACATTGTGAAAGACTAGGCGTATTCGTTTATGACTTTGGATGACGAATGTAGTAGTTTTCGTAGAGGACATACATAGCTTTGAAGAATGTCTTCACGTCCGGTCCAATATCGCGAACGAGAAAGTAACTGTAAGGACAGAGTGCTGGGTGATGTTCATCCGAATCGCAAACACGGCAAGGCGTATCGCGTCTGCAGTAGCCTGGCGCGTGGACGTAAAGACAGTAAAGGCATCTCCCAACAGAAACTAATTTTGTAGCTCGATCCGTGAGACTCTTAATGGTAGTGCAGTTTGCAGTATAATGATTAGCCTCACAGAAGAAACATACGATTGACGGATCGATAGCCTCCGCTCTCCCTGTGGCGATTGTCTGCGAGGAGGAGAGCGAGGAGCCGGTGACCTACGTCTCTGACGCGTATCGGACTGCCTCGAGGTGAACGACGATCCTCACTTCTGCGAAAGATGCGGGATGGTCCTCTGGAGCTGCGATCCTGAGAAGGTGAACGACGAGTCGCGACTCTGCGAACAGTACGGACGGACCTCCTTGAACTTGAGCTTGGAGATTTCGAACGGGCTGAACTGGACGGCGAATGATGGGGACTGACTGAGACAATTACCTTCTGATGCTGAGGTGATAGATGGAATAGTTTTGGACAGGCGGATAGGCGAGGTCAGCTGGCGTTGGATAGCTCGACTCTTCAACAATCCATTCTCGAAATGCGCTGTAAACCGCATGACGCAAAAGGAGTCTATCATCACGAAATCCCTAGTAGAGAGCTGCTCGACGCTGAAAGTGTGGTCGAAATTTTCGGCAAGCGTGAGAGACTGCGCGATTTGCAATGAAAGACGCTCAGATGGTGGAAGACTTCATGACGAACCTCATAAGTGGAGAAATCCCCTTTAGCCAGGTCAGAGATGAGCTTCCAGTGGAGTTCGATCGCGCAAGGGACGTTTTGGGGTGATTTTCGGATCGAAAAGACGAGCGCAGGCAAGTGGACGATGATTGCGCTCGTAGCGAAAAAAGCAGTGTAACTCATTTAGTGCAGCCAGCAAAGAAGAATTATCCATGGTAGAAACAGGCTTACTAGTTGAATACGAAGCCTCAATCACGATTTCACTGGTTTGACAGGGAGCGAAGCTAACGCTGAACTTTCCGAAGTTGCTCGGACTGGCAGAACTGGCAGATC